AACAAAACGTTGTTATAGTAGCTATGTAGGAAATTACAGTATGCGATACGGAGAAAAATATGCATAAGGTATAAAATTATAGTAATAATAGTAATAACAGCTAAAATAAAATAGCAAAGTTATAATTAAACGATAGAAAGTGTAACACCATAGAATTACAGAAAGATGAACAATGAAAGGGTCGATTCACTTTGCTAATTACATAGTAACTTATATGTTTCACGTCTAACAATGTCCTCATCACATAAAATACAGGCTAAATGAGGGTATTGTAGAATTTATGTACTTAGTGGTTCAAGCATATAACTTCTTATATTGACTTTTCGTCCTACCTGATAAGATGAAAGAGGATAGTTGTGAATAAAGAGGGTACATGGGTTCTGACAGTTCGGCCTTAGTTCATTTTGTACAGGAGTTTATGTGTCTCTCGACTATAGTATTGACTAGCTCACGCAGTGGCATACCATAAGCCCTACTCACAGCATTTAATACTCTTCGTATTATGGCATAGTCTTTTTTGAGAAGCCCAGGAAAGATTAATGGAGAGCAATAGAGTACAATAGGTAAAATACAGGAGTTTACAAACTGCAGAAGTAAAGGTTGGTTGATACCTGATTGTCTAAACTTTTTAATGTAGAAGGTAAGACGAAACATTTTCTTAGAAGTTGATAATATGTGGGATGACCATGAGAGGTCAGAGGAAAGAACTAATCCAAAGTATTTAATGCTTGACTTGGTTTCAATTTCAGTGCCATTGTAAAGACAAAAGATAAGAGTCAGGCAACAGATCCTTTATTAAGGAAATCAACACGTATTTGTATATATTTCATGTACACTATTATAGCTTATTCAAGCAGACAAACACAGTCTTCTGATTGGCTGTTTCTTATAGAAAGCTGACCTTGCATCTCTTTGTGACTGTTTCTTGAATGTCAGGTCATCTATATGTTAACTGTATCTGCCTACGCCAAGTCTGCTGTGATTGGTTGTTGAATCAGTCTTGTTCATATTTTCTCACGACCAATATCTGCGACATATCCATTGACGTAAAATGCTGTCTACCATTTTTGGTTAGCCCGCTCTCACCCCACTCGTCCCCCCGTCAAATAGCTTCGCGCGCAGGCGTTCCGACCTTCTGGGTGATACATCCTCTAGTTGAGGATTGTTAGTGACCGTCTTGTCCTACTGTACCCATCATTGGAGCTGATTGGCGTTAACTCGTTTCTGTTTGTCCCCTCTTCGGGTGGCATGTACTTGACCCAGTCTTTTTGTGATTGTGTATAGTCCTTCCCACTTTGGAAGGAGTTTCCGTGAACCTGGCCCGCATCCAACCGTATATCATCTGTGTCTACACTTCACTTGGTCCCCGGCAGCAAAGGTAATGCACTGAGTCTTCCCTTTCATCTGAGACTTCCCGACACCACTGCGCTGCTTCTGCATTACATTTGTAAGTGTAGTTGAAGATTGAACGATCGATTCATGGTTGTTTGCTCAAACCCAATTGCCTGATAATTTTCGCGGGTCATCAATCTGCCAGCCGCCATCTCGTCGGTCGCTGTTCAGAAAGAAGATCAAAAACTGTCAGAAACCTTAGTCTGTAATACTAGTGTTGCTGGTTATGTTGGCGTTATAATAAAGAATTCTTGAGTCGCCAAACAGTGTTTTGGTTTTTGCGTTGGTTATTACTAAGCGTTTCTTGAAATCTTCGATGGACAGCGTGAGGCATAGCGTAGCAAGAGCTAGGCATTAACGGTTTGTGAGACTTGATTGATAACATTCTTGGCTGCTCCTTTTCGCTCTGCTTTTAATTTCGTCGTATTCCACTTTTGGTGAAGAGGACAGGTCTCTTTGTGTATCGGTAATCTTAGTTTTCTACCATACATCAGTTGAAATGGTGACTTCGTTGTTTCCTGAGTGGTAGCACGATGCCTTAGTAAAATCAGTGGAAGCTCCTTTTCCCAGTTACCGCCCTTCGAGGCCAGCTACTCCTTCAGTTGTACGGTTGTTTCTCTCCGTCGGGCCATTCGTTTGTGGATGACATTTTTATTTATTTATTTTATTTTTGATTACAGCTTGATTCCACACCGTATTTTAGGTACAAGTATGGAATTTTCAGCGTGGATATCGGTAGCCCGAATTTCGAAGGCCGACCATAGATATCAGGTGTCCGTCGGCGCGGGCTCGAACTCCGGACCATGTGCATGGTCGGCGAGAGTCCTCACCACTGTGCCACCGACGCAGTGACACGTTCAGATCCTCTTGATGCCCAGCTGCTGCAAACGGGAAGTAAATTCTTCACTCTCGAAACAGGGACCTCGGTCTGTCAGTATTGTCTTTGGAACTCCGTGGTCCGCGACGATATGTCTAACTACTGCATCTGTCACGGTCCTTGCACGTTGGTCTGTGATTACCACGGCGTCTACCCATCCTGTCGCGTGTTCCGTCATCACCAACAGGTACTGATTACCACTGGATATCTGAGGAAATGAACCCATGACGTCTACAGACCACAAGTCACCTATCGCCGTAACTGGAATCGACTGAAGCGGTGGTCGTATACGCCGGTCGCCTTTCATTAGCCGGCACCGTGGAAATCCAAGTACGTATCTTGCTATGTCTTCCCTCATGCCTGGCCAGTACATGCTCTGTCTTAGGAGGTCGGTTGTTCTGGCCACGCCTGTATGTGCTAGTTGGTGACATTCATCTATCATGTCGTGGTGCGACGATTGAGGTATGACAGCCAGCGAGCTTCCGTCGTTCTCTCGCCAGGTCAGAGTCTCGTAGGCATTCACTCTTAGCCGATCTCTCTGTCTGAGTAGTGTGGTTAGCTCCTTACTCGCTGTAGCTTGGTCCACTTCTATTCCGTTGGTGATCACCTGTATTACTGTATTCAGCGTATCGTCCAACCTCTGCCTACGTGCAAGTCATAGTAGGTCTTGTTCTACTGCATGCACTCCATAACCGATCTCGGGCAACTCAGACTCGTCTTCTGGCTTCGATAACAAATCTGCCAAAACATTTTCACTTCCAGGGACGTGTGAGATCGTAAAATCGTACTCCTGAAGACTCAACATCCACCGTGACAATTTCCCCCGTGGGTCTCTCGCTGTATAGGGAGAGATTGATATTGGAATCTTTCTTTATCGAATCAACTGCAAATAAATGTAATAGGAATGATTCGTCACCTGTCCCTGATATCTGGAAAATTCTACTACCCCTACGACAAATAAGAGAAAACAAAGAAAAGTATAAAACTCAGGTTTCAAAGTCGTGTGATTACAATTGATATGATTATGAACAATAAATTTTGTTCGAAACGTCATCCAGTAAATAATTCTGTTACACTCACTGTGATATATCTACCTAATATACAAACTAATATGGAATTACTTACTGCCACAGTGCCCAAGTTTCACACATATATCAATATCAGAGAGTGTTGTGCTTCATAGCATTACGACGAAATCACAGATCCATATAGGATGTGAATTAATTGGTTGAAATAATGTTTTTGCTCTTTTCAGTGATATATAATCATAGTTGAAATAAATGTTTATTGTCGAGTCGGAATGACAAATTACTAGCTGTACGTCAGTTTCTGACATCAAAGTGATCTCATGAATAGTAACTGAGTGATCGGTGGCAGACAAGGAACCAGCCAAAATGATTCTAGTGAGCAGGATGAAATGAAGATGTGCCGTATTCTTCACTAGGAACCAGGGGAATAATGATGTGGACTCTAAAACGGTTCTAGTCTATCAGAACTATGATTGTCGGCGACTGCCTGGATGAACGGAAAATACTGCCGCACTTGTTGTTTGATTACAGCTTGGTTCCACACTGCATTTTTGGTGCAGGTACGGGATTTTCAGCATGGATATCGGTAGCCCGAATTTCGAAGACGGACCATACATATCAGGTGTGCGTCGGCAGGTGATAGAACTTCGGACCATGTGCATGGTCGGCGAGAGTCCTGACCACTGTACCACCGACGCATAGTTCAGTGAACGTGTCAGGCACATATTATTCATCAGTCTAAATGTACCTATTTTATGCTAACCAGAAGAATTTACAGGGACGAAAGAAGCACTACAAATTTCAATAATAAGTATAATCGACTTTATCCCAAAAAGTACTTTAATACAATATAATTCTCAGCATTTGTCTGAATACTGCATCTAATTTACTCAAGAATTCGTCCACATTTAAGGTGTAAAGTCAAAAGCATTCGAAGTAATTCGAGAGTAATAAATGTAATGATAAGAGCTGGTTGGTTTCAAGTAGTATTGTCAATACAGTTCGTAGATTTTAGCGTGTCACAGAAACATAAGGTGAAAGCTGCTGATAAGGTGGATGCTCATACTTACGTAATCCCTTTAGCAAATTTGTTGCACGAAATAATGTGCCTATCAATGACTACGGGGTATCCCTCGTTCTACTGACAATCTTCAGAGTTCTACGAATTATGACATAAACTCTATTAAGCAACCCAGGGAAGAATGAGGGTGAACAATAAAGAAGAATAGGTGAAATGCAAGAGTTGATACACTGTAAGAGGAGGAGGCGTTGAGATACATCTGAATGACTTAACTTCTTAATGTAAATAGTCAGACAATATTTTTCTGAAAATCGCTGAGACGTGGGCAGAACAAGAATTAGTCCAAGCTACTGAATGTATGACTTGACTTATATATCAGAATTATCAATTTTATAAAGGTCATTGAAATTAACAGCTTCAGCAAACTTTCTTTTACATCGGAAACTGAAATTAACAGTCTGATATTTGGAAGGATTTATTTTAAGACCACTAGACCAAGACCATCAAGAATGTTATGTACGATTCAGGATCAAAGCTGCTAATTGGATTACAGATCGGGAGGATCGAAGCAACCCACAAAATCATTTTTTCAATTTTCATGTACCAGGTTGAATATACAAAAGGTTATGCGCACGTTTGAAACTGCTTGCTACTACCTGCGGACTTAATAAACACTTTCGGGATGACAACACTCGCCCAAGATGCTCTTCAAATAAAATATATACACAACTCGTAGGTTTAGAATAACGTCTTTTTTGAATCTGTGCAATTAATTTCTCATTTTTTTTATAGCATAGCAATGGTAACAAGCTGCCCATTGTCCGCTAACCTTCAGTCGGTTGATCAACAAGTCCGTGAACTTTGTCGTTTCGCTCCCGATCAACCATTCACTTTAAAATGGTTAGATGAAGAACAAGATCCAATTGTTATTTCTTCTGATATGGAGTTAAAAGAAGCTTTTCGCCTTCATGAATTGAATAAAGAATGGCAACTTACAGTCCTTGGTAATTTACGATTTTTCCCCTAGGTATATGAGTGGTTTAGGAGGAAGAATAAGTTACTTTATGGGTATATATATGGCTTTTCACAGCGCTTGGTCCCGACAGTTGTTGGTTTTCGTTGAGATATGTGCGTAACTATTAGGGTTAAATAATAATTATTAAATGTAACTTCTGAAAATGCCACCATACGACTACACTGATAATAAGGGGATAGCCTGTGTCCCTGTGTATGTTGTTCTCCTAGTGATCCCATTTTCTATTTTATTGCTACTTATTCCAGTTTAATATTGTCGACTTAAAGAAGTCACATATGTCCAAACCAAGTTCACTTTTAAGTTTGGAAAAATTTTGGCATTGGGTATATGACATTCATTATAGTAAAGGTTTTGTATTTCCCAATGAATGAAAAACAAAACGATATTGTTTTTAAACAATTTACTTCGTCCGATTAATATATGGTTATGTCTTATCGTCTTTGAAAGAGATCAACTCAGATACAGTTTTTTGTCGAGATCAGAAGTGCACAACAGCCAAGTTTTGCGAAGTATCATTGAGACATGTAACTTCTGGGACTATCAACATACGATCCCAATGATATTATACGAGATAATTATGTTTTTGGCTGTGTCTAAACACATTTTTGGTTGAAAGATGAGTTCCAATTCGATCTTTTATACTTCATTAAGGAAATCGTAATATGACAATAAAAAACTAAAAGTGACTTCACAGAATGACGGCATATAACGACCAGCTCCGCGTCTTTAAAACAGACATTGTTAAGTGTAAATGGAACTTGAGCACTGTGTGGTAGTGTATGATTCCATTATGCAATAGTGTTATTTATATTTAAAGGCACACAGTGATACAGTATTATTTACTGATTGTATTTCAAGCACAATTTATTGCTCATTCATATCAATGTCCTCACGTAGATGTCAAATTTTGTTTATTTTGGTTCCATTATTTATATCCCTTAATTTTATTTGCAGTAATATTTTCCATGTTGGTGTTGAGTCATTAGTATTACACGTATCCTGATATATAGATTCGACGAATAAAAGGGTTTATTGATCAACATCTACCTCCACTTTTATATATATTACTTCTTAGAACCGTATTCATATCCCTACATTGTGTTGTGCAATTGTGTATGAATGAGTGTATTACAACTGTTGTGTTTCATCGTGACTCGTTTCAGCATAGAACTTTGCACTGATGTGCAGCAGTTCTAGTCGCCACACTCCATGTAGAACAGAAAGCAAAGGAAGAAAGTAAAAAGAAGTGCAAAATAGGTACATTAGTCAGAGATATGAGGCAAAAAGGATAGTAATGTCGAAGAACCATTTAGTTAAGTCAAAAGCATTGAATGCATCTGCGCCATTGAGGACGATTTTGAGCCACCAACTATCTCCAGCCATTGGTTTTTATCATCTCAATGACCTCAACCAGGAAGTCTACACCTTCCTATGTAAATTAAACTAACTATTGTAGATTTCTTTGACTGATGAAGCCACGTTTTCGTTTGACCACCACTGGCTCTTTTCCAACTACATTGATCCTATATCACATAAGATTCCCTCCTATCGAGGATGGTGATGGCTAGGCATGCGTAACACATATCCTAACCATCTCAGTCGACGTAGCTTCACAGCCTCGTCAATCGATTTCCCCTCCTTACCTAGCACTCGAACGATGCCTAACCTCAATATTTCTCACCTTAATATACCACTTCACACGGGAGATAGAACGCAGGCACCAATTATCAAAGACAGCTAGCCGGGCTTTTCATGTCCTCCACTGTCAATGGCCACGTCTCACTCACGACCGTAAATGAGGATGGAGTGGACTGCTGAGCAATAAACACGCCCTTTCGTGGATAGCCAACAGCATATCACGTCTACTAAGCCAGAAACAGCGTAAACTGGCATACGCCACACGAGCCTTCTGTACCCGTGCTGAGATTTCGTCAGCAATCAACCCGTTGGCACTGGCTGATGCAACTTCCCAAATAAGTGAAGTGGTCGACACGCTCTGCAAGTTCACTCCGTGTTTCTAAGCTAGGAGTCAGTGTAGTCCATTCCATTCCTGTAGCCTCATCTTACATTTGACAAAGACAGTGAATCCCATGCCAAACATTCGTAGATTGCCACCCAAGGTGTTCAGAAGACTCTGCTGCCTTTTGTCAGCGTCTTCACCTGGAAGAACTATATCATCTGCTTATTCTATGTCAGAGAAACTATTGTTCGCTGATGGTAACAAGCCAGTCCCTGAAGTGAGTTAGGGTACATCTATGACAAAACTGAATAGAAATGGGGATAGTGGGCATCCCTGACAGACACCAGTAGTTGTCACCAGTTCAGATGACAACTCGCTACAAGCCCTCACCTGGTTGCATGAGTTCGAGTAGAGTGAGTACCTGGATCAGTGCAATGTATTTTCTCGACATTGCCTTCACAGCCAAACATCTCCAGAACACCTCTCGGTTGACAGAATCGAATACTGCCTTTAGGTCAAGAAATATGACGACTGTTGGACACCGGTAAGTATGACTATGTTCCAGAATCTGTCAAAGGGTGAATATATGATCAATACACTCTCTTCCTGGTCTAAAGCCTGCCAGGTTCTCTCGTGTTTGTGCCTCCTGTGGACCGCTTAGTCTACGCATTATTATTGAGCCTAGAACTTTAGATACCACATTAGTCAAGCTAATCGTCCTGTGATTATCACAGGAAGACTTGTCTCCCTTCTTGTATATGGGGATAATCAATGACTTACATCAACCCGACGGGACTTCCTCTGATTCACAGACTCTGCCGAATACCTTAGTTAACGCAGATAGTAAGCTGTCTTCGCCATCACTAAACACCTCTAGAGTCATTCCATCAGATCCTGCTGCTTACCCTCGTTTCAGATTAGTGACACCTTTAGTGGCCTCAGTTAGGGACAGAGAACCTGTTTCTATATCCCATATTCAGGGAGGTGTTGGATGTTCGGTAAGTTGAGTGTGGCTGTAGGCCAATTAAACTGCTCCTCAAAGTGTTCTTTCCAATGTTCTAGTCGTCTATCCTGGGAGCCAATTATGGTGCCATTTTCCTCAGAGATTGTTTCACTTATCGTTTGCGTTTTACCACCTGCTTACCTGACAAGTCTAAACAGTTTTCTGGTGTTACCGATCGCAGATGCCTTTCCATCACTTTAGCTTTTGTTGCCCACCACTGTTTACGTCCGTTTCGGAGGCTTCTTGTTAGTTTGCGATTGAGCAGCTTTCTCTCCTTATCATAATCGGAGCTCACCGGAGTCAGTCTTCTTGCGTCAATCAGTTCGGATGAGGTGCTAGAAATCCAATGGCTCTTACTAACTGTAGGTTTCAGGTTATTAACAGCTTTTACAGCTGTGTCCACAGCTAACTGTACGTTGTGCCAGGCTACCTCACAGCGAGTCCTGCTGTCGACCTCAGGTACTCTTTTTGCCATTTCTTCCCTAAATATTAATTGAATGTTATTTAGTTTCTGTTTCATTTCATATGTAGATAGTTCACCTGGTTAGGGTCTAATGAAGGCTAAGAACCAATGGCTTGAGACTGTTGATAGTATGGCTCAGTTTTCAGTGGTGTAGATCCACTAGCTCTATATATCGTACAGATCCATTAACTCCTTATTTTTGTCCATGGTACTATTGTTTCTTTCTCCCACACATTTATGCTCATTATAGTTCTTTTGAATCTTTTTGTCTGCCTTTGTGTACTACTTGGAGCGTTGTCATTGGAACTGCTGTACTTTTGTGCATAGTAGTAGTTCTGCTTTATAAATTAATAATAATTTGCATAATTTAGGGGTCAAATTTTCATAAATATTTTCTTTTCTTCTTTCTATTCTTTTAAGTGTTTGACGGGTGCCAAGCGAGCCGGGAAAACCTTGTCCTGGTGAAGATAGTAAGTGTTTTCTGTCTAAACAATTGTTTTTCAGTCTTTAAGATTCTTATTATTATTATCATTCGCTTGAGTTCCGAGTGGGACATAGGGCTTCTTCAGCTGAGGCATACTCCACCTTCCGTTATCTGTAATCGTTTTGTTCGAATACCTCCAAGATTGTCCATAAGCTTTCATTTCCTCATCAGACAATCTCCATGTTATCATTGAACACAGCTGTTAAATCGCTTCTCATTGGAGTTCCGCTCGAGAGCCTATGGGTCTTGGGATGTCATTCAGCGGTCTACTCTGCATTGTTTTTTGTTAATAGGATTTTGGTTGGTTCTCTGACTGTCAGAGTTCCTTGTTGCCAGTCCTTTCTGACCGGCCATCTGATCAATGTGGAGCAAAGGGAGTGGGGGCTGATGGCCATCTGCAGTAGGCTCTTGCAAATGTTTTAGTGGTATGTGCGCCAAATCTCTGAACCATATAAAAGCAGTCAGTGGTATAACACCACCTAATTAACAGGCAGCAGAAAGTTATCCATGAAAAGGAGTAGGAGTTTGGGTGTAGGGTTAAAACTATCCCATCACTACTGATGCTTCAAAGCACAGGAAGCCTTATGTTCCTCTAAGAACGCAAAGGAATAAATGCGCCAGCTTTGTGACACTTTCTCCCTCTTTCACTCTCTATTTTTTTAAAGTTAGTATGTATCGTAGAGGTGCTAAACGATGGAAAAAGAAATTTTACCTACTTCATGGGCATCAGTTTGCTGCTAGACGATTCAATAGGGTAAGTTTATTGATTTTTCGATTTTTTGGAGCCTAAATCTTTCACTTATATAAATGACATGCAAGGGAATTTGGTATGATTGCATTGTAACTCAGTGTATTAGTTATTCATCATCTCATTCGCCTCTTGTCTTTAATACGCAGCGCTCTTCCCACTGTATCCAGGCATTTTTTTGTTTAAAACTTGAATTTCCTGGGTATAGACTATATGTGTAGTTCCTGATGAACAATGTTTCTTAAGTTTGGAGTCTCGTATCAATTGACATTATGAATCATTAGCAAGTATGTTAAAATTCTTCTTTACATACAGTTAGTAATTTGTGTAGACTAGGCAGCTGATAAGAAGCCGGCGAAATAACAATGATGGTATCATCTAATTCTGTACAGACCGTTGTTCTAGTTTTATTCAAAATCGTTCATATATCTCATCACAATTTATGATTCGTAACCATCTCTAAAGCAATACTTCTTGATTGGTTTCAAGATCGGTCATGAACTGACTGACATCATTTAGACAATCATTGAATGCCAGCGGGAAGTACTAGATAGCTGTTTCGTCCTTCCTCTTTTGCAATCTTTAGATGTACTCATCTGTCTTCCCATTAAGGCTCAAACGCAGAAGTAATGTGACGACTTTGTTGATCATTAGGCCTATAAGACAGGACCCAATAGCTCATGGATTCTAACTTACTTCTCCCAATTTGTGTTCCTCGGTAGCGTGTTCGTGAGTGTGTCCTCTTGAAAAATCAATCCCGAAACAAAGGACCAAACAACTATTCAATACTCTCTTCTGATGGTGGTGGTTCCAATAATTCTCCGACTGATGTGCGTTTTTGTCAGTTCGGGATGAAATTGAAACCAATCGAATCCTCCCTCCCTCACTGCAAGGCGATTTGACGTGCTCCTTTTTTCTCACTTTATTAATGTTTTTTAGAATGCCATCTGTGCATATTGTAAAGAACGTATATGGGGTTTAGGACAACAGGGTTTCAAGTGTATCAATTGTCGTCTATTGTTACATCGTCGATGTCAAGCTGGGGTACGTCATAAATGCGGTGAAGCATTTATTAGGCCAACATATCAAAATATGCGTTCCGTCTCCACCTATTCAGCCCCTTCAGTTTGGGATAATGGCAATAATGCGAGCAGATCTACAACCCTGCTCACCAGTAATGACACGCCTTCTGGTATGAATAACAATAATACCCTACCATCTCGTCTTCCAATCACAATTCAAGATGATATGAAAACGCTGAAACAGGAGAGGGTTATACATCTGGCCGACAGAGAGTTAAATCGTAAGTTATTCTTTTTGATTTTTCCTATTGGAATCACTTTTTCTCATCTGTGAAAGAACCATTCACGTATGTAGATGTGGACTGCTTCGTTGGGCTCTTCGAAACAACGCTTTTGTGAAAAGTTCCATGTCGAAATTCAGTCAATTAGGCAACCTACTTTGGAATTCAGTCTCTATATAGGCCTAATTTTATCTTCGGTTTGCCATAGAGTTGAAAGAATCTATCTGATATCCTCGACGATCATAGAATCGTTTCTCTTCCACATGACCACAGCCCATTTTATAAAAAAACTCCTGATATTGATCTCTTCCTCTCCCTTGTTATGTTAGATTTTAAGGATTATCACGTCTTTGTGTCCCATAGTTTTGTATAATTGTATGTAACTGCTTTTAGTGTGTCCCAGTGAACAAATAGTAGTCTACGGGCTTGCCTCGGAACTTGCACATTCTAGGTTCTGCTACTGATGAGGTCATGGATCAATAAAGTAAAGACGTGGCTAATTGGTTTAAACACACTTAACTTTCACCCAGTAAGTTCCGGGTTCGAATCCTTATTCCAGCTCGTTCAACTGGGCAACCATTCGTCATACAATAAGTGATATGTCAAAAACGTGTTGCGGTTAGCTGAGCTCTGAGAAGCATAAATCCACGCACACAGAGAAAGCTTAATGAATAAGTTCCTTCACACTCTCCCTGTATGCTGTGTTATTAAATGAACTGTCTTTTATTACCTAATTAAACTTTATCACGTAATTATTTTCGAATTTGTGCTTATTTTGTGGAGATCCACATAGTTGTTTAGGTGTGTTTGATTTATTTATTATTTAAAAAAAATTTTATTATAGCTTGACTCCACACAGTATTTTTGACACAAGTATAAAATTTTCAGCATGTGATGTCTGTAGCCCAAATTTAGCAGGCCGACCACTGATATTTGGCGTGCGTCGACCGGGAATCGAACCCCGGTATCCCCAACCAATCCGTCTACACCTCCCTACAGGGTTGGCTGACATCAGTAGTCAGTCTCTTTATGGATTGATTCCAGGTTTCTGTTTGACGACCACCCGAAACTAACTCTATTGGAATGTAATCCTACTTTAGCTAACATTGCTGATGATAGAAGGCAATGGATCGGCATACGCAACGCGTATCCTAACCGCCTCAGTCAATTCACTTTATTGAATGACTTGTCCTGTTTGACTTGACCTCATTTGTGCTCACTGTATTACATCATTTAATTAATTTGGTAGATAGAACTCAAGCATTTGGGATCAAAGTTAGCTAGTGTTTTCATATGTTCCACTTTCAACAGCCATATCTTACATACACACAAATGATATAGGGAACTTCTGCTGCTGTGTGGTACACATATCCTTTGATCAATAACCGGATATCAATCAAGTCTACTCCAGTCATGACCTAGGTTGAGTAAGGACACATGAACTTTGTGTATCCATGATGAGACTTCGTCAGCAATCAGTCAACTGGGGCGGATGCAACTTCACTAGTAAGTGAATTGGTGGCTAACACCCTCTACCATATCACTTGCTATCTTTAAGTTAGGTGTTGGTGCAGTCAAATCCTGATGTATTATCTTTCTTACAGGGGTAGATCGCATGCCAAACATCTGAAGATTGCTGCTCAAGGTACTCAGAGGACTTTGAATTTTAGAAGCCTCTTCACCGAAGAGGAGAGTATCATCTGCACACTCTAAGTTGATAAGACTTTTCTAGTAATAAGACGATCACTAAGTTGCTAAATTCAATTGGCGTCAATTCCACTAATAAATCTATGGTGGAATTAAGTAGCAGTCGGGACATTGAGCATCCTTTACGAACATCACTGGTGTTGTCATCACTTCAGACGATAACTAGCCATAAACTGTCACCTGGCTGCGTGAGTTCGAGTAGAATACCTGAATTCCCTTGGTTGTCTGTTAGAAAGTTGGGCAACCTATTCATCTATTAATTATTAATTGGTGCGATAGGCACTCCGTTTTCAGCCAAACGTTTCCATAGCACCTTTCGATAGACGGTAGAGAGAGGGTCAAGAGTTCGAACCACGCTCCACCTGCTGAAGTCAGAGTGACTTGGGTAAGAATGTCACTGGCCTTCACAGGCACATACACACAATAGATGTGTGTAGCTCATTGTCAACTCTGTGAAATTATGCGTTTGTTTTTGTTTCTGTAGAGTCATCTGATTTATGCATTGAAAACTAAACGTCTCTCGTTTCTTTCGCTTCTTTTTTGCGCTTATTTTACAAAAGCAACTAATATGAAGAATAACGTAAGTGTTTCTATTTATTTGTTTATAATTTTAAAATTCTGTTAAGTGTGAAATTTTTTTATGATTATTATTATTTTTAAAACACAAACTTGGTCTCTGTCTGTCTGTCTGTTTTCGACATAGAACTTTGCACAAATGTGCGGAAGTTCAAGTCGCCACATTCCGTGTAGCACGCGAAGCAAGAGAAGAAAGTACAAGAAAAGCATAATAGAAACAGTGAGCAGAGGTGTGAGACAAAGGAGTAATAACCAAGGACAAAACAGTTTCATTGGAGATCATAAGTCACAGGGAGTGGATGCATCTGCGCCACTGAGAACGGTTTTCAGCCATGTCACCAATTGTTTCCAACCATAGATTTTTACCGTCCCGAGGACCCCAGCCTGGAAGTTTACACCTTTTTACGTGGCTTAGACCAACTGTTGTGGATTTCATTGACTGGTGCCAAGTTTTTGTTTGACCGCCGCTAGCTTTTTTCCAGTCTGACCCTATATCCACTAACATAGCTCGTCGAGGGAGGCGATGGCTTGGCATACGCAACACATGTCCTAACCATCTCAGTCGATATAGCTTCACGACTTCGTCGATTGATTTCCCCTGTTTACCTAGAACTCTACGCCTAACCTCCATGTTGCTCACCTTATTATGCCACTTTACACGGGAAATAGAACACAGGCACCTATGATCAAAGGCAGCTAGTCTTTTCATGTCTTCCACTCTCAGTGGCCAGGTCTCACAACCATAAAGGAGGACGGAGCGGACTGATGAGCAGTACACCCGCCCTTTGGTCGATAGTCGAACATCTCGTCTACGCCAGAGACGGCGTAAACTAACAAATGCGAAACGAGCCCCTTGTATTCGTGCTGAGATTTCGTCAGAGATCAACCCGTTGGGGCTGATGGTACTTCCCAAATAAGTGAAGCGGTCAACGTGCTCTACCACTTCACTTCCTATTTTTAAACTAGGCGTCGATGTAGTCCAGTCCTGTAACATCATTTTGCATTTGGCGGGAGCGAATCGCATGCCAAACATTCGTAGATTGCGGCTCAAGGTGTTTAGAAGACTCTGCATTTCGTCAGCGTCTTCGCCTAGTAGGAATATATCGTCTGCATATTCTAAGTCAACGAGATTATTCCCTGATAGCAAGTCAATCCCTGAGTCGCTGAAGTCACCTAGGGTTAAGTCCATTAACACATCTATGATGAAGTTGAATAGAAAAGGAGATAATGGGCATCCTTGACGGACACCACTGGTCGTCATCAGTTCAGATGACAGCTCGCCGTAAGCCCTCACCTGGCTGTATGAGTACGAATAGAGTGCCTTAATCAGTGCAATATATTTTCTTGGAATTCCCTTTACAGCCAAGCATCTCCAGAGAACTTCCCGATCGACAGAGTCGAATGTTGCCTTTAGGTCAAGAAATATAATGACTGTTGGACGCCGGTAGGAATGCCTATGTTCTAGAATCTGTCGGAGGGTGAAGATATGATCAATACACCCTCTTTCTGGTCTAAAGCCTGCCTGGCTCTCTCGTGTTTGTGCTTCCCGAGCACCACTCAGTCTACGCATGATTATTGAGCCTAAGACTTTAGCTACTATATTAGTCAAGCTAATCCCTCTGTGATTATCACAGGAAGACTTGTCTCCCTTCTTGTATATGGGGATAATCAGTGACTTACACCAACCCGATGGGACTTCTTCTGATTCCCAAACGCTGCCTAGTACCTCAGTTAATCCGGACAGTAAGCTGTCTCCACCGTACTTAAATACCTCTGGCGTCATTCCATCAGGTCCCGCTGCTTTGCCTAGTTTCAGATTGGTGACAGCTTTAGTAACCTCAGTTAGTGACGGGGGACCTGTATCTATATCCCATTCAGGGAGGTGTTGGATGCTCGGAAGGTTGAGCGTGGCTGTGGGCAAATTAAACTGCTCCTCATAATGCTCTTTCCAACGATCCAGTAGTCTATCCTGTGAGCTAATTATAGTGCCATTTTTTTCCGAGATTGTCTCACTAATGATTTGTCTTCTCCCACCCGTTTCCCTGATGAGTCCAAAGAGTTGCCTGGTGTTGCCTATCCTCAAAGCTTTCTCCATCTCTTTGGCTTTTGTCGCCCACCACTGTTCACGGTCCTTGCGGAGACTTTTCGTAAACTTGGTACATTATGGGCACCAAGAGATGCGCCATACAAAATAGTTGTCTCATAGTTTGTACGAGGGCTGGGATACATACTACCCTGACATTCGAGATCGAAATAGGTGGCGCTTGTCTTAAGGAACCAACCTCATCCATGAGCCTTTAACTTGGAGTCTGATCCACAAGACAGTACGCAGTGGAGCAGCATGAGGGACGCCTACGTTCCTACGGTTTACAGTAACTAAAACAGGTTTATACGCGTCATATGATCTTTTTGAAGCCTACAGCCCGTGCAAACACTGTAAGTGTAAAATAACCAGCGTTCTCCAGTTGCCTCCAAGTGGACAGACCCACATGTCCATCAACCAGTCTAGTTGTAAGCTCTAGACGTTCTCATTTACCCCTTCACTTTTGTGAGGAATACCCTTCCACTCTACGCCACGTGAAGGCGGTAAATGGGACAACTCACCTGGCAGAGACTATGAATGTGTGTGGCCACATGGGTGCATTTGAGAAGAAGACCGAAGTCTACTTACCCTCAAACGTGCCAGGTCGTTTATGCATCTGAATATAAGCTACAATACTGTTTGCCTATCATATTATTTTAATTGTTATTCATTGCTTTGCGTTCTGAGTGTATTATAGGGTTTCAGCCGAGTCACATTTCTGTTGGTCTCAGTTCTCCGAGACTCCTTTCACCTAGCTACATGACTGCCCATAGGCCTTCATTTCCTCTTCTTCAGATGATCTCCCCCATGTCATCCTCGGACCCGTTCCGAACTCGATCTCATTCTCCATTCAGGTTCTACACGAGTGCTTTTCTAGCGTATGATGTCAATCTGAGGTGTCCTCAGTGTATTTCCAAAGCATCTGCATTTCCTTCTGCATGTTAGTCGGACAACAGATTGTTGGTTGGTTCACTGGCCACCAAAGTTCCTTATCACCTGCATGTCCTTTATTTTTAGCGATCTGATCTTCAGCATTTAGGCAGAGAAATGGGCAGCTATTGATGGGAGTCTGCATTAGCTTGAAAATATTTGTAGTGATTCTAATAACAAGTTTCTGATGGATTTGGTAGGACTGACTGACTGTCTTGACATTAGTATCAAACCAAATGCTGGTCTTGTCTATTCGTCTGTATTATTTATTTTTATTTTTATTATTTTATTCCTTCACGTTCCCAGTGGAACATAGGGCTTCAAGCTAGAGGCTTGAAGTTTCTGTAGCAGTGTTTATTTTTTACAGGATGGTGTTGCTGGTCTCATGCCCAACCTTTCCTCTTTACTAGTCTTATTTCTGGCCTAACGAGGTAAAGGAGTGCGTCGGTGGCCGGGGATCGAAACCCGGACCATGTGCACTGTGGGTGAGCGTCCTAACCGCTGTGCCACCGACTCACCATGCGTCTGAGTGATATAGATTTCCTCACTGAAGGTCTGTCTTGCTTTTTGCGATCCATCCCTAAATAGATGAAATAAATGACTTCCTTTAAATTTCTCCTTTTGATAGTGAGTGATGCTTGTTGTTGGTGGTCTGTTGACTATCTTCGTCACCTCTGCCTACTCTATATTCACCTGAAAAGTCGTGACTTCGCTGCTAGTCCCTCCTGTCAACTTGTCGGTTTTCACGTGTAGATCTTTGAGTTTGTCTGACACTAAACATAATACGTACACAAACTTCAGATTTTCTAGCTCCCTATTCACAATCTATCGTATAGCTGTTGAATGAGATTAATAAAGGTTTTCGGCACTATACTGTGTAGTGTTGAAGCAGTTTTTTTCAACTTGCTTCACAGTTGATGCTGTCGAAGACCTTTCCCAAAGTCGATGTTGTTTGACAATGATGCATAGCCTCGCCGTTTGGCGTAAATAACTTCTAACTACTCATTTCAACCAATGAGTCAGTAGTGTATACTCTAGGACGAAATATGTCTCGACATGGTTTTTACAGTTTTATTTATAAACCAATGAAAAGCAATTAAAATCTCTTTTTGTTTTTAAAAAAACGTAGTTCAAGTCAGGTTCAGACAACTCCGCCTTTGAGTCGACCAGTGGTGTTCTCGGTATTCGCTCGGATAGTTCTGGTAGTACGCTTCTACCTGTCAGTATCACTACTGATAAAACTAATGACAAATCTATACCAATCATTGAACAACGGATCACAGACATACCAGATATACCGATCACATCAGGACGTGTTGGCCTACATGATTTTATCCTATTAAAAGTGATTGGACGTGGAAGTTATGCGAAAGTTTTTCAAGTCGAGCATAAGCCAACTAATCGTATTTACGCAATGAAAGTTATTAAAAAGGAGACCATTTTAGATGAAGAGGTGAGTCAGTCATTGTTTTCCGCTTTGATTTTTTCTAGGCAAGTTAAAGAGAATATATACAGATGTCTACATGTGTGGACTTCTGATCAATGCACTTGGTTGGAACGCACACTCACTAGGAGCTAAAAAGGCAAGCAGGAAAACCAGGCAGAATAACAATGTATTCATTCAAAAGAATGTATTGAAATAAGTGTAGGAATGCTAAGTAGGACATCTGATTTGTTTAGAGTTAGACTAGGAAAGATTAGGGTTAAGATTATGAATAGATTAGTGTTAATTTAAGCCCAAGTTAGCGAAACATTAGGGTCTGGGTTAGATTAGGAATCTTTCAGGAGGAGGTATGATTTGGGGTTAGATTAAGATTATGAATACATTAGGGACGAAAATTCTTTTTAGCGTAATCGCTTCTTACAAGGTGATAAATGCATTCTCGCCTTAACCCTGACCTTTATTAATTATTATTGTTATTGAATTGTCCTATGATTGTCTTTTACACGGGAACGAAATGATGCTCTGTTTCTGTTGACATCTTGACTCCTAGTATACGGATATCTAAGGGTTGTAAAAACGTGATGTCAACTGGTTGAAATGTGTGGTGGCTACTTTACTTTTACTTTACTTCGGCTATCTCATACGGGAGGATGAGCCGGCTTCATGAACGTCTCGAATCATCGCTGCCCAGGCGCGGCGATCCGATGCAAGGTTTTGCGACAGGGATATCCAATTCTTGTTCCACATACGGAGTCCGTAGACGGTTTGTAGCCCCAGGCACTCCATATCAGCCTTGACTGTACCAAGCCATGTCTTCAGCTGTCCACCCCTGCGACATCGCCAAGATGGTAATGGCGAGGGATTTAGAACTGATTTGACCAGATCGTCATCTGGTCGGCGCAGAACATGGCCAAACCACCGAAGGCGGCGTTGTTGGACCAGTACTGGAATTTGGTTGATGTTGTAGCAACGACGACGCACTTCTTCGTTGGAGAGTTTGTCCTGCCAACGAACATGCAGAATGTACCTGAGGCACCAATGGTCTACTACCTCGAGTCTGCGTAAATCTTCCGCGCGAAGAGGCCAGGTTTCACAGCCATACAGGAGAACGGGTCGTATGGAAGCTTGGTAGACCCGAATTTTAGTCCTGAGACTGATTTCTCTCTTGCTCCATAGAACGCTCCTCAGCTGTAGAAACGCATTCCGGGCGTTGGAGATTCGCGCATTCACTTCGTTTTTCGCTTGGCCGTTGGGGAGCATTATGGATCCCAGATATCTGAAGGATGGCACAATTTCAATAGGTGCTCCATTCAGGGATAAGATTTCATCATTGCTGGTGGATGTGTTCGAAAACATTTTGGTTTTGGAAGTGTTAATTTTCAAACCGATAGTAGGCGCGAGGTGGTTTATCTGGTCGAGCGCCTGTTGCATATCGGGGAAGTTTTCAGCTAACAGCACGACGTCGTCGGCGAATTCGAGGTCGGTTATGTGAATATCGGGCGAAAGTTGGACGCCGTGGTGCTCGGTTAGGGCGTGCCGCAAAATCCAATCGATTGTGAAATTGAACAGGATGGGGGATGCTGGACAACCTTGCCGGACACCGCTGGTTACCTCAAAAGTGCGGGACTCTTCACCGTTCACTCGGACTCGAGCTTTGGTGTTGGAGTAGTATGACCTGAGCAGGTTGATTAGCTTGGTCGGAACTCCGTCGAGCTCCATTAGATACCAGAGTGCTCCTCGATCAACTGAGTCGAATGCCGCTCGGAAGTCGATGAAGCAAGCAACCGTCGGCTGTTGGAATTTGTCCCTGTGTTCCAAAATTCTTCGCAGTGTGAATAATTGATCAACACAGCCTCTTCCAGGTCGAAATCCGGCTTGATTTGGCCTTGTTCGCACGTGGCGTTCGGCCGCGAAGCGGTTCAGGAGAATGGAAACAAAAACCTTAGCAGCGATATCAATCAGACTTATGCCTCGGTAGTTCTCGCATAGTGACCTGTCTCCCTTTTTGTGGAACGGTAGCAGAACTGAGGTGCTCCAATCGGAAGGAATGGTTTCGGACTCCCAAATTGAGCAGAACAGCGAGTGCAGTGAATCGATTAGCGCTGGAGTGCAGGCCTTGTATATTTCTGGAGGTAGACCATCTTCGCCCGGAGCTTTTTTGTTTCTGAGTGTGTTAATTGTTTTAGCTATTTCGGTTGGAGTGGGTGGATCGCAGTCAACTACGTAGGGTGTTGGTAAGTGTCGTATCGGTCGATGAGACGGTTGACCAGCGTCGCGATTGAGTAGCTGCTTGAAGTGTTCGGCCCATCGTTCCATCTTACCATTGGTGTCCGAAATAATTTCTCCTGATGCTGTGCGTAACACAGCATGACTGTTAAGGCGTTTGCCAGATGATTGGCGTATGAGGCGATAAAGTTTTCCGAAATCGCCTACATTTGATGCTGCTTCCATGTTAGTCGCCACATTAGACCAATAGCGATTTCTGTCATTCCTAGCAGACTGTGTAGCTTTGCGCCTGAGGGAGCGATAAACTGGAGACTTTGCTAGGCGAGCGTCTCTGGCTTGCGAGGATAGATGCATGGTGTGCTCTGAAATCCAGTCTTTCTGCTTCTTGGATGTGGTACCCAAATGCGACATTGAAGCTTTAGAGACTACTTCTTTGAAATGACTCCATCGTGTCTCAGGTGTATTAGAAGAGCCAGTGGTGGCCAAACAAAAACATGGCATCAATCCATGAAATCCTTGACAGTTAAACTGAGTCAGGTAGGGAGATGCAGACTTCCGGGTTGGGGCCCTCGGGACTGACTCTAGGAATCAATGGCTGGAGACAATAGGTGACATGGCTCAAAATCGTTGTCAATGGCCAGCGCAGATGTATTCAGCCTCTGTAATCTTTCATATTCCTTTCTACCATTACCCATTCTGTTTCACTCTTATACTTGTCAGACTGTATTGATTCTCTTCACTCATCTTCTTGTCTACCTTTGTGTGCTATTTGGAACGTGGCAACTCGAAGTGCTGCACTTCGGTGCCAAGTTCTATGTTGAATCCAGACAGACATTAGAAGATGTGGATGTTGGTTCATCTGCGGCGCTTAGTTCGGCCTGGATTTGTTTAGACAAGGCTTGTCGCTTTGTCGAACATTGAAGCGGGGCAACATTGATACGCTTCGGAGGTCGCACCTTCTGGCGTGTTGTTAAACGAAGTTTGAATTTCGCCCGAACTAGAGTATGGTCTGATCCCCCTTTATTTCCGGCCTCTGCTCCACGATACGATCGACAGTCTTCCACCGAGGAGATCCAGCGTGAGCGCACTAGGATGTAGTCGATCTGATGTGCAGTGCGATCGTCGTTCGAATACCAGATGAGAAGATGTTTTCTAGGTTGTTGAAATCGAGTGTTGGTGATATATAATCGATTGTAATCGGAAAAAGCTAAAAGTCTATCACCATTACGGCAGCGCTGATCGAGACCGTGTTTGCCTAGTATATGTTTTGTCGCGTCGTCTGAAGGGCCAGTGCGGGCGTTCCAATCGCCGGCTACTATGAGAACGTCACGCTTTGGGATTTTGTTGATTGTCATAAAATTCGTCTTTGATACTTTCATCATAGTCGAGGGTTGGGGCATAGACAGCGAGAACAGAAATGTCGAGCGGGAAACCCTTGAACCTAGCGATTGCAACTCTGGAGTTGACCGGTTCGAATGATATTAGGGCATTATTGGCTTTGTTACTGAGAGCAAATGCTACCCCATGTTGTCCCGAATTATTCTGGGGTCCACTATGAAGCAACCAGAATGATGAATCTGTTCCAGGTACGGCTATTCGGCGGGAGCCATGATCGGGTAACCTCACTTCAGATAGACACGCTATGTCCACCTTGTAGTCGTATAAAGAACGCATGGTGATAGACTGGCTACCAGGATCCAACAGCGTCCTAACATTCCAGCAGCCAACAAATAGTTGGTTTCTAAGTGTTAATTTCCCATCTGGCTTACTTTTCACATTGGCCACCGGGTGAGCACAGGGCGCGTCGCTTACCGGGAACGCCGTAGCATGGTGAGAGTTGTTTGTAAGAGAGTTCATGAAGTTTCATGGGAATTTGGTTCGAGTGATGTCCCCAGCATCACTCGGCCTTTTGTTTGAGAGTGCAGCTCTAGCCTTTACACAACCAAGTGTGACCTACAAGGCAGTAGGAGTGGAGTAGGGAGTCCACTATCCATTGGCAGCCGGTGACCGGAGTTCGGTTCATACGCCTTTTTGAATGGGACCAGACATCCAGGACATCCAACAAGCCCTTTGTCCATACGTCTGCCGGTGAGCTCCGGTGAGCTTCATACGCCAGTCGTTGGAGGTTTGGAATCAGGGTTTAGCCATCTCGCCTAGACTGTCATCCAATGGACAGTCAACCCGGTGGAGAGCGCCAGGCATCCGCTGGTGGTGGCGGCTGGCTAACAGCGGAGTCTAGTGTGTTGCGCGTTTCTCTTCGAATTCCAGTTGAAGTGGCTGAATATCGTAACGCGGAGGTGCCAGGTTCGGTCCATTTTTGGGTCGCGAATGCACGTTGATAAAGAGTCCAAAACTAGAACGAAAGAGCTACCTAGTGTATCTCCTGGTTTACAGGGATTCTCTCTAACGCGGAATTTTCATTGAAATAGGATAAGATTAAGTTAAATTCAAGGGATGAGAAATCATAAAAATCATAATGTAAATTGGGTGTTTGATGAAAAAGGAGCAATGAGGGCAGAGAGAAGATTGTTAGTGTTTTGAAGCAAATAATAAGGTATTCAGATAGATATGAAACGATTACGTCTGTGAAACGCATAGTTAAGTATGTAGAAACTGAATGGCCCTATCGATTCCTCTAAGAGTCGTAATCACACGCACACATTGAGGCAGATTGTTCAACACCTGGTATTCGGTTATAACTGTGTTGTTTACTGTCCATCAGGTGGGACAGGTATTGTCACTAATTTACTGGTGTAGTTGACCTGTTTTATTGCTTATCAAACTGGCATATATTCTTGAAGACTTAAGCATAAATTCCTCTAAGTCGGAGTTATATAATTGTAGCTTCTTGCAGAGATCTGGCTAACTAGTGTGATGCAACCAACATTCAGCCAGTATCTCCTCAATTTTGAGTACTGTCGCACCTTCTTATTAAGAGTAGTCATCCAGATAATGTTATCAATTCACACACACATTGTCTTCCGTGTTACGTGCTTCCAAAAACTGTGTAAGTGATCCTACAGAGTGAGGCTGTAATCTCATTAGTCTGCCCCCTTGGCTTCCGGTTGCTAGGTCATGTGCGTCATTAACAACAATAATGATTTGATTTAAAGAGAATGATAGGTCAAGAAAATAAAAAATGGAGACGGAAATGTTACTGAACAACAATCACTTGATAGCTATACTTCCTGACAGCTGTCAAATCTTTGATCCATTACTTTACTGATTGAAAGTACAGGGCACCTTGACCAATGAGGAGCCCAGCTTTACATTTCCACATTCAAGAAAAATTGTTTTCTATAACTATTATTATTATTATTTCCCGTTAAGAAACAACATTAATTTATTCTTTATTTTTTAATGCATGTGCTTGTCTCTCTGTGAAAATCTGTAACAATAATTATCAGGATATCGATTGGGTACAAACAGAGAAACATGTATTTGAATGCGCTACAAATCATCCATTCCTAGTGGGACTGCATTCGTGCTTTCAGACGAGAAGTCGGTAAGTTCCTCTGGCTTTCTTTCTCTGACTATTATTATCGTCATCACATGTTACTATGATATTTTCTTCAGAGATTATCCTGATTTGTATCTAATGGTGTCCATTGGTTGTTAAGGTTGGTTCAAATCTCAGTAGAGAGAAATCAGTTCCCTCAAGGTTGTTGTACAGATAGAGGTACCCTCGTTGGTGGGTGGAAACAGAAGCAATATACCTAGGTCAGACATATCTTCCTGCTAATTGTCTCCAACTATCTAACATGTTTCATTTCTTTTAACATATTACCTCTTGGTAAGAATGCTTCAACATTTACGTTATTTTCCTTCTTTGATCTTCGACTGATACATCCATGCACAGAAGTGCTTAAAGAATTGACTCATGTTAAGGTATTTAAAAGGATAACATTTCTTTTTATCAGAAATAGTAGTTTAGTGAATAATTTTTGAATTCTAATTATTATTGTTGATCAAAAATAAATTTCGATTGTTGGATTACACGAGAGTGTGTATGGATTCGACTGACTTCAAGGTGTATCCTGAATTGATTTCACTTATTGAACCATTGGAAACCAGTATTGGAATACTGGACAACTGTTTTGTCTCAGTTTGAGACTTTTCATCAATGCACTGACTCACCTGGAACTTTCAGGTTACAAGGTGGACCTATTGTGATCATTCAGTCACTGTGACGGAATCTATTGGTCCATGAATTCTAATGAAAAGCATATCACTGCTAGCCAACGTCATCAGTGGGAATTTCTTCACACATCATCTCCTACTTGGTGGATCCTACTAGTCACAACTTCTTACTAGCAACTTCGGGTAACTTCGTCCTGTAGTTTGTCTTCAGTCAATAGTAAACATTGGGTTAAGTATATTTTTTACTAGTATTTTTGAGGTTGTAGCATCCTAAGCGTAAGGTGTTTGAATCCTACGCATATGGGCGACTTTGGATAATAACGTCAACCGTCTTTTATTTATTATCCCCTTGAGTTTCGAGTGGACCATAGAGCTTCAGTAGTACGTCTCGATTTCCCCTTATTCTCTTCAGTCTTTTACTGGCTGCCTCAAGAATTACTCATAAATCTTTATAAGCCCTTCTCACTATCATATGATCTCCTTTTTATCACTCTTGTACCAACGCCCAACTTGGTTGTTTCTCATTCACGCTCCACTTGAGGGGTCTGACTGGTGTGTGCTGTCAGCCAACTGTTTCCTCACTGTATGTTCAATCCATCCATGTGTATTTCCTTCTGCATTGGGCAATAAGTTCTTGGTTGGCTTGTTGTCTATCAGAATTCCTTGTTGCTTGCTTATCATTTCTGTCTGGCCATCGTATCTTCAGTATCGTGGCAGCAAAAGATGCAGATATTAATGAAAGTCTGCAGTAACTGTTGTAAATACTTTCGAATATACTCGTGTACCAAGTGTCTCCGAACCATCTAGAAGAACTGACTTGCTACTAGTGTTGAAAATGTGAATCTTTTGTCTTTTACTGAATGAGTGCAGTAGATTTCCACACTGATTTCAAAGTAATGAATAAATCTCATTCAACACCTATATGTTGATAACACATACCAGGAGACGCATAATGGAAAACTGAGGGAGGCCTTTGAAGTGAAGACAGGAGTAAGATTAGACTGCCTACTGATTGCCCATGATTCCTGATTCTTGTGGTGGACACTGAATCATGGATCGGGCCGTCGGGAGCGAGGTGACACACACACACACATGGGAAATACCTCGTGCCGATAAAAGGACTCTAGGAGATATAGACTTCGTGAATGATTTATGTTTAATATCACACAAACTCAAAGAAGGTCTACAGTTAAATACCAATAAGTTGGGAGAAGGAAAAGAAGTAGGCAGTGAAAGCAGGACTTTTCAGGTGAACATACACAAGTCGGAGATTATGCAGTACCCGACCAACTAACAACGAAAAGCATCAATTACTGTCAACGTGGGAAATTTGAAGGAAGGCATTTATTTCACCTATCCGGGGATGGATGACAGAAAGCTAGACAGATCCTAACGAATAAAAATGAGCACCAAGCAACATCACTGGGAGAAATTTGAAGGAATTCGTCTGTTTCACTTACCTAAGCAACATCGTTTCAATAACAGGTAGCGACGCTGATGATTAAAATATCAAAGCAACGATTAGAGAAGTAAGACAGACTTTCAGTATTCTGAAATTAGTGTTGAGATCAACCTACACAGTACTCAGCGTGAGGAACAAGATAAAAATTTCCAATACTGAAGTCAAGTTATCTATTGAATATGGCTCAGAGATTTGATGACTTGCCACTTTTTCGAGGGCGACATGGAGGCGGAGGAGACGAGAGCCTATGGAAAATCAAGAAGTCAGCTAACAGGGAACTTCAAAGAACGGGATCCATACTAACAAGCCTAATTTATGCGTCCAAAAGAAGTCAGTTCAAACATTTTCCTTACCTTGGCCATCTAGGTTTGAATGATCCTGAATTTTTGTGGAATTTTCCTAATTTTAGTTGATAATGTATTTACAATTATATCTTTATTATTATTATTATTTAAGCATCTTTAGTGAACTGTAATTGCAGTGATCTTACTTTACAATTCGATATTATTTTAAAACAACACTAATATTGTTATTGACTACTAATCTAGAATATTCTATGTATATAAGCATACGTATAATTGTAGAGCCAGAAGAGGAATTTGTCGAAAAGGATATTCTATGCTCGATCACTTTTGTTTTATAAATGTCTTAATGAATATTTTCGCTATTTTGAAAGCTCTATGTTTCACTCAGAGCCCAATGGAATTGTGATTTTTAAGCAGAATGATCATATTAGTATCATCGGCATAATTATCGGATTCAATGCTTGCATGCCTGGTGCATGAGTAGTCGGGTTCAGGCAAACTGAGTTCGAACAAGTAATGTATATTACTTCATATGCTGTATTTATCCACAAAATTGCTAAAGCTTTAACTAGGCCGACCACTATATGCATGTACACAGTCGTAAGCACACAAACACTTTCAGCGGCTGTACTTGAACCAGAGACACACAGAATGAATTTTTACTCGTCAGTCACATATGAATGGCACAATTCTTTTCTTTGAAGTACGAATTAGAAAGGTTTTTCATTCTGGATTAGACAGGAAAACCTTTCAATTATCAATGAGTAAATAAATAAATAATTGTATGGTTTTTATGCAAGGATAATAGCATACAAACTGATGATGTAATCCATAAAAAGAGACAATGTACGGGCGTATAGTTTTTTTGTTTATGTTTATGCACGTGCATAGGCCAGTTCTCCATGTGTCTGTGCGTAGATGTTTACGTGCGTGCATGCCTGTACGTATATGCGCACACGTTATGCAAATCAGTAGTCATCATTTCTCCGTTTTTTCTTCTTGTTTTTTCTCACATTATTCTATTTGATTGAGTAACACACTTTTTCTTGCTCCACACTAGATTTAATCTGTCTGTTTGTTTTCGACATACAACTTTGCACAAATGTGCAGCAGTTCAAGTCACCACACTCCATGTAGCACGAGAAGCAAGAGAAGAAAGTACAAGAAAAGCATAATAGAGACAGTGAGCAGAGGTGTGAGACAAATGAGTAATAACGAAGAACAAAAAAGCTTCATTGGAAATCATAAATCACAAGGAGTGGATACATCTGCGCTGTGCATTGAGAACGATTTTGAGCCATGTCACCAATTGTTTCCAACCATAGATTTTTACCATCCCGAGGACCCCAGTCTGGAAGTCTACACCTTCCTACGTGGCTTAGGCCAACTGTTGTGGATTTCATTGACTGGTGCCAAGTTTTTGTTTGACCGCCGCTAGCTTTTTTCCAGCCTGACCTTACATCCGCTAACATTGCTCGTTGAGGGAGGCGATGGCTTGGCATACGCAACACATGTCCTAACCATCTCAGTCTTTGTAGCTTCACGACTTCGTCGACTGATTTCTCCTGTTTACCTAGCACTCGACGCCTAACCTCAATGTTGCTCACCTTATTATGCCACTTTACACGGGAAATAGAGCTCAGGCACCTATGATCAAAGACAACTAGCTAAGCTTTTCATGTCTTCCACTCTCAATGGCCAGGTCTCACAGCTAGCCATAAAGGACGACGGAGTGGACTGATGAGCAGTACACCCGCCCTTTGGTCGACAGACAGTCGGATATCACGTCTACTCCAGAGTCGGCGTAAACAGGCAAATGGTCGTATAGTGTAAGCTAGGGTGGCATATGCGAGTTTCAGCCACCTCTGGTGCCGTCACGACGTCATGCTGGCTGTGAAAAGTGAGGTTCACAATACTTCGTTACCCGCAGTCTTGTTCTCGGTCTATAAGTCGTGGCCTTTCTAGGCGAACTCAAGAAGTATGGTGACTGAGTACTCTATCATCTCCGCCTCCTCTAGAACTGTTGCCTGCATCTGCTGGCGCCACCGTGTGAATGTAACTCTGTGTTTGCACACGGTGGGGACTCACATGTACTGAGTGTCATCATCTAGAGACACAGGATTAAGCGGTTTGGACATGTGATGCAAGTGTCACCCCAGAGGCTTTCATACCGGTCGCTGTCTGCTGGATCTGGGACCGGATGGAAACAGCAGAGGAGAGGTGATCGGTCATGTGGTGCCGTAGACTGTAATATATGTGTTGGATTAATATGTGGGTTAACGACTCCTTTTCTTGGAGTCTGAGAGCTAATTCTAGCCGGTGGATGTAAACGTTGTCAGATATGACTAAGAATTGCTGAGTGCCAGCTAGCATGAAACTTAGGACCTGGTAGGCCTTCCTATCGATGGCACCCAACCATTTAACGTGTTTGATTTCTCTACAGCGTTGCACACACATGACCAACCCCACCGAGGGTCATGAATTACCAAGAGTTAGCTGTTCGATCCCTTGGCCAGTGGTCAACGGGTTGTCCTGGTTTTGATCTCCAGTGGTGCGCGCAGCTGTAGTCACTAGTGTGTCATGGGTTCAAACCCTGGTCCATGTAAATAGAGCAGGCATTGGACAGCCAGGGTCGCAGTATCACTAACCTATATATATATATACCATAGATGTGTCACAATGTCAACTCTGGATGAAGTAACATTTATTTATTTTACCACATAATGACTAAATTCCCTACTCTTACATTAACTATTTTTTCCTTTTTTTTCTTTCACACAAAATCACAGATTATTCTTCGTAATTGAATTTGTCAATGGTGGTGATCTGATGTATTATATGCAACGAAATCTTCGGTTGGCGGAGGATTATGCACGATTCTATGCAGCGGAAATATGTATAGCGTTGAATTTTCTACATGAACGTGGAATTATTTATCGCGATCTCAAACTTGATAATGTGTTGATGGATAGTGAAGGACATATCAAACTGACAGATTATGGAATGTGTAAGGTAGGAGAGAAATTGTGTTTTTTTCGTTGTTGTTGTTGTTATCTTTGTTAATTTCCGTGTATTTATGCTATATTTCCGTTTTCCTTTTCGGGATTCCATTCGACAGTCTTTTATGGTGTTACTTGAATGTGTTTGTTTTTCGAGCGTGTATCATCGAATCTATCTCAAATTCTCTCTTCTGCATACTTGTTGCACGATGGGTTCTGAGTTGATTCTTTCTTGGTTGTCATTTGTACTGATATCAAGCAGATCAAACAATGTGTGAGGCCTCTGGTGGATTGTCACTTCAAATTATTATTATTCCCTTGGGTCCTCAGTGTAACACACATCAACAACACATCTCCAATTTGTCCGATTCTCTGTGATCCTCTCTAGCTGTCCCCACGATAGCCCATAAGCTTCCATCTTCTCAGACGATCTCCTCCATATCATCCTCGAATTGATGTCCCACTACTCGTTTCCCATATACGTTCCATTCGAGCAATGGCCTGGCTGGTGCTCTATTTCATCCGACAGTCTCCTTAGTGTGTCTTCAATCCATCTCCATTTAATTCGAGATATTTTTGGCAATAGGTTCGTGATCAGTTCGTTCCCAAAGTTTCTCGTTGCTTATTCATCCTGTCCACCTGGTCATCTGATCTTCAGTATGAAGGTGTTTATAAAAGTCTGTATTAGCCTGTTGGAAATACTTGTCCTGGCGTTCTGACCAAGTTTCTGACCCACATAGAAGAAATGAGTTACTAATCTAATATTGGCGTTGATAATCCAAATTGTGTTTGTATATACTGCGGGAGATCTCCAAACTGATTTCACAATGAAGTTCTCCCATCGCTTCCCGATACTGATTTTCACGTCGTCATCCATGCTGTCACTTGTAGTTGAAATGATGCTGCTTAGCTAGCCGGATAAGCTAAGGAAGTGACCTCTTTTAAATGTCTCCCATTGATAGTGGTTAACACTTCTTGTTGTTGATTGGTTATTTTCATCACCTTCTTCTCTATGTTCACTTAAAGTGGCGTCTTTTCCACCTGCCTCTGTCAGCATGCTGGTCTTCGAATTATATTTAACTAATTTGCAAACTAAGGAGATTTTTTTGTTTTTTAATCAAAGCAGAACTTTCTTTCATATTTCACTGTATATATCTCTTCTCTTAAATTCTATAGGAAGGCATCATTGGTGATATGACAACAACTACTTTCTGTGGTACACCGAATTATATAGCTCCGGAAATATTGAAAGGCGAAAGTTATAGTGAGTTCTGTCTGTTTGTTGTCTGCCTATACCTGTGACTGTCTATCCACATATAATGCATTGTTCATTTTAGTTGCCAGGTGAGTGCAGTGACCATTTAACCACTTGACAGTTGCGCTTCAATCTCCTAACTTGGGACTGATGCTTTAGCAGCATTTCGGGCACCTGTAATCCCGATGGCTAGAGATTGAAATCATCCAAGGCCTAGATTACGACGGGAAACTCAAACCCCTGGTGTGGGTTCATGAGTGGGTGCGCACTGATGATGAGTCCCAAAATAGGTTTATTCATTTATTTAATTTGATGTTTAAATTGTATAATTTATAGTTATTGAAGTGCAACACTTTCGTTAATAATTTCAAACTTTCTAAAGTGGATTTCAATTTAGAAGTTCACACAAAGGTTTGACAGTTCACGTCGCTACATTTCAGGAGGGTTCGAGTAGAATGTAGAGGAAATAGTTACATGGAAAACAGTAGTAAATTGATGAATCTAGGGTTTTTTATTAAGAATGAATGCATCTTCGCTACTGACAACGATTCCCAGTCATGTCACCAACAGTTTTGAGGACTCAAAGTAGGTTGTCTACACCTTCGTACTTGTCTGGCTCAAACCATTTCTAATTTATTTCTAACCTAGTCCTATGTCAATTTACATTTCCCGAACTGGTGACGACTAGTGGTGTCCGTCAAGGATGCTCATTATCCCCTTTTCTATTCAACTTCATCATAGATGTGTTAATGGACTTAACCCTAAGTGACTTCAGCGACTCAGGGATTTATTTTTTTTATATTTTTGATTTACAGCTTGATTCCACACTGTATTTTTGGTACAAGTATGGAATTTTCAGCATGGAAAATTGTCTTACCATGTATAAAAAGTATCTTTAAAATCGCTACAAGACTTGCTACCGGGGAATGATCTCGTTGACTTAGAATATGCAGACGATATAGTCCTACTAGGCGAGGATGCTGACAAAATGCAGAGTCTTCTAAACATCTTGAGCTGCAATCTACGAATGTTTGACATGCGATTCGCTCCCGCCAAATGCAAGACTGGACTACACCGACTTCTAGATTAGAAATAGGGAGTGAAGTGGCAGAGCACGTTGACCGCTTCACTTATTTGGGAAGTACCATCAGCCAGTGCCAACGGGTTGATCTCTGACGAAATCTCAGCATGGCTATAGAGGTCTAGTTTCGCATATGCCAATTTACGCCGTCTCTGGAGTAGACGAGATGTTCGACTATCGACCAAAGGGCGGGTGCACTGCTCATCAGTCCACTCCGTCGTCCTTTATGGCTAGCTGTGAGACCTGGCCATTGAGAGTGGAAGACATGAAAAGCTTAGCTAGTTGTCTTTGATCATAGGTGCCTGAGCTCTATTTCCCGTGTAAAGTGGCATAATAAGGTGAGCAACATTGAGGTTAGGCGTCGAGTGCTAGGTAAACAGGGGAAATCAATCGACGAAGTCGTGAAGCTACAAAGACTGAGATGGTTAGGACATGTGTTGCGTATGCCAAGCCATCGCCTCCCTCAACGAGCAATGTTAGCGGATGTAAGGTCAGGCTGGAAAAAAGCTAGCGGCGGTCAAACAAAAACTTGGCACCAGTCAATGAAATCCACAACAGTTGGCCTAAGCCACGTAGGAAGGTGTAGACTTCCAGACTGGGGTCCTCGGGACGGTAAAAATCTATGGTTGGAAACAATTGGTGACATGGCTCAAAATCGTTCTCAATGCACAGCGCAGATGCATCCACTCCTTGTGATTTATGATTTCCAATGAAACTGTTTTGTTCTTCGTTACTACTATTTCTTTGTCTCACACCTCTGCTCACTGTTTCTATTATGCTTTTCTTGTACTTTCTTCTCTTGCTTTGTGTGCTACAAAGAGCGGAGTGTAGCGACTTAACTGCTGCACATATGTGCAAAGTTGTATGTCGGAAACAGACAGACAGACAGACATATCCTGAATGAAATGCTAATGGCTTGACTTGTCCTATTCATTTTCTATACAGCTTGACACTCCTGGATTGACTTTCCCACCTATGACGTGTTGAGTAATTAGTCTCTCAGGAACTATGCTCATTCTGAAACAAGTGAAGTAGTCAACAAGTCCAGTCAGCTCATTCTGCGCATTTAAACTAGCAGTAGGTACTGAGCAGTCTTACATAATCCTACGGAAAATCCAGATACTTTACGGTGATGATACATTCGTGATAATAAAAAATAAAACGACGTAGACAAAACTGACAGATTAATAAACAACATCTTCAACGACACGAGATTCACAAGAGAAGAGGAATCCAAGGACAAAATTCCACTCATAGACATCTTAGTCAAGCAAACAACTACACGGAAATTAGAGACTTAAGTATGGAGAAAATTAGCTCACACAGATCAAATACTCAATTACAACAGTAACAAGTCAATAATACACTTGAAGGGTTGCATAAAAGTATTATTCAACAAAGCCAAAACTCTTTGCAACACTTTTGTTGTGAAGAAAAATATATTATGGACATCTTCCAAAATAATGGATATCCACAAAACTTCATCAAAAGACATCTACGCTCAACCCAACCAAACAAAATCAAAAGTCCATGATGAAAACAAAGAAAATTGTCTTACCATGTATAAAAAGTATCTTTAAAATCGCTACAAGACTATCCAAGTGTTTTGGAATTCGTGTGGCCCACAAACCCAACAAAATCACTTTACTTGGCTCCATGTCAATCAAGGACTCAGTTGCTAAAGAACATAAAAACCAACGTCATCTAACATAACATAAATTGCGATGACTGTGAAAAACATTCGGTTGGTCTAAGTGGATGCCCTCTCCGTCTTTGCATTCATGAACGTAAACTAGCCGTCAAAAGACATGACATCCACTCCTTCATATCAATCACTGCACACAGGAAACCACATACATCGATTCGACTAGGATAATGTTCAAATCGTAGACAGAGGAAACACCGAGAATGTCAGATGGTTTTTCAGAAGTCTGGTATTCAAGGGAACCGCCAATTAAAAGACACATTGATATATACAAGATTTGCCAATCTATAAGAAGGATACCACAAGAACAAAATCAAACTTCAGGTTAAGGAAACAATCAATAAGAGTTCATCCAGACACTAATGAAAACAAACCACGTAGTTGAGCAAAATCTCTTTTCGGTGAATTCATTCACTGTACAGTCGCAATTATATATACTTATTTTTGAATATGTGTGTGTATATTAGGTTTGTCAGGAGAGAAGTTGAATTAGCGTGATACAGTTACGTAATAGGAGTCGCATCATCCTGGAGAGAATTAAGGACGTACTGGATACAGAACTCCGACCAGGACAAGCTGGCTGCATTCAGCAAAGGCAAATCATGTTCTGACCAAATTGCAACTCTACGCATCATCATCATCATCAAACAAATCATGGAATGGCGATCAAACCGCTACTTCAACTTCATAGACTTTGAAAAGGCCTTCGACAGCGTTGACCGTGAAGTAATTTGGAAAATACTCGAGTACTATGGCGTACCCCAAATATTCATCAACCTAATTCAACAGCTGTACGACAACGGCACCTGCCAAGTGATCCACAACGGAAAACTCAGCAAGGCGTTTGGAGTAAACACAGAAGTCAGACAAGGGTGCATATTATCTATCACCAATAATATTCCTAATTGTGGTGGACTGGATTATGCGTCAGACTGTGGGAAACGAGAAGACAGGAATATCCTGGACCGACGTGAAGAACTTAGAAGACCTGGATTTCGCGGATGACTTATGTTTGATGTCACACACAATCGAAGACTTACAAGCAAAAACCGACAAACTGGTCTAAGAAGCAGCCGGTGAAGACAGGACTCCAGGTAAACATAGACAAGACGGAGGTTATGAAAATAACCAACCAGCAACAGCAACAACATCCAACGTCAATCACCATCAACGGGAGGGATTTGAAAGAGGTTACTTCATTCACTTATCTAGGGAGCATTGTCTCAACTAGAGTCAGTCGGAACGGACGAGCATGCCAAATCGAGAATCGGAGAGGGGGGTGAGAAACACATTCATCAACCTGAAACCAATCTGGAAATCTTCGTCATTCAGCATCAACAGCAAAATTCGGTTGGATCTTCAATACAAGCGTCAAGTCGCTCAGTTCTTGTATACGGATCGGAAACTTGGCGGGTCACAAAGAATATTTCCAACAACCTGTTGCAGACCTTTATCAACCAGTAACTGTCTTCGCTCTACACTGAAGATCAGATGGCCGGAAAGAATCATCAACAAGAAACTATGGGAACGAACAAAACAAGAACCAATCGCCAACCAACAAATATGCAGGAGAAAGTGGAGATGGACTGAGCAATCACTCGCTGAGGAGGCCGGTGGGTGAAATCGCGCGTCAGGCCCCCGAGTGGAACCCAAAATGGAATCGGCGAGTGGGACGTCAGTGCAAGGGTGACATGGAGGAGATCGTGTGAAGAAGAGTTGAAACAGTATGGACTAACATGGATGCAGGTGAAGAGTACAACAGAAGACAGAAGCAAGTGGAGACGTGCAGTTGAAGCCCTATGTTCCACTAGGAACCCAAGGGAACAATAATATTAATAATATAATATGGTGAATAGTTTGTTGAGTGAGTTGTGATTAGAATGCACGTAAAAACAAAAGAAAATATAGAATTGTGTAAGAGTTCTAAAAATTACAAATGTTATAACGAGGTAGAAGAAGAAATAAACACAAAACATCAAGTCAGTGGAAATCAACGCGGTTGTTGCCAAGATAGTAGTATATTTAACTCTGGTTTCTCCAACTGAATGGCTAAGGCCTCAGCAATACAAAGAAGACCAAAGCGTGTTGTATTTCGTAGGTAGCGAGCACCACTGGTTGATGTGAATAGTGTACAACTACGCATATTGAGCGATCAGTAGTATATGGTTTGCTTTCTTGATTACCATTTTTACGGTAGTACCAAGCAGATCACATATTCTCTGTGAAATCTTATTAATTTCTGTTTCGAAATAAAACTATTGGAATCTCATCTTAAAATGTGTAAACCGCAAATTGCGAATTAGATTTATGAAGATAGTGGGACTTGTTTAGTGGAACACAATTGCAGAACCTTTATCTGGCCGTGTGTCATGATCAGATTTTCATTCTTCTTTAATTTGTTCAGGTGATTTGTATCTGTTTTTTAACATCAATTTAAGACAGTTGATTTCAAATGGTCTGCATCATCACATGACATTCAAAGTTGATCTTCTGTCTGATGGTAAATTTGAGATTTTATGTTGAGCTCACTCACTTTTGATATTACTTCACAGCATTCAGTCCCAAATGCTTCCTTGAAAATAGACCTCAGACTTTTAGCTAGCTTCACATAGTGACATCATCAGTCATCATATTGGTAACAAACAGCGGTGTAGTTCTTGAATAATGTTCGTTCATCAGTGGATAATTCATAAAAAAGTGTGGAGTTTTGTGAAATATGGACTGCTTGAGTGCAGAGAATTTAGTTCGGATGTTTTTTGATGTGGTTGTGTTCTCTGAGCTGGAGAGTTAATTTGCGAAGCTTTCATCGCCTTACTAGGTGACATCTTCAGCGCAGAGAACACAACCACATCAAAATCATCGACCTGAGCTACAAATCTTCTTTCTCTATCATATCTAGTTCAGATGGTATCAGTATGATTGCCTGTCGTTATAGTGTGTAGTATATGAGTTATTAGGGGCTTTATGATTTCATCTACGATTCTTCCAAAACGTCTCCATTGGGGTTCCACAACACCGTGCATATGTACGGCTGGCTTACCTGAGATAAGTAGGAGAAATGTTCCACGCCACCCAAACCTAGATGTGATACATTCTGCAATATCACTTCACGAAGTGATGGTCTGAAGGGTATGTTCAACCAGTGTGAACGAGAAGCTGTGTCGAGATACAATCTGATTACGATATCACCCACTCTGTCAGGTATATCAAATAAAATTATTCCGGACCAAATTCACAATTCGGAAATTACAAAGTTCGGAGACGTGAGATTTCACAACAGTTTCTTGCCATTTTACTTTTGTTAGGAGTACGCTGACTGCGTGAAAGTAGTGAATAGGACTTACATGATGGATGGTATGGACGAGAGGATTTCGAGATTAAGGTCGAAGTCTATCCATCTTCGGTCATACCGGCTTGTTTACTGAGAGTGATCGATTGATGGCAGGAAGTGGAAATCACTCACAGCAACCACTAGTGTTAGCTTCTAGGTAAGTGATCGAAGTGTAATCCTATAATGGTGAACTTAGACTTTAATGCTGTAATACGAAACTTTGGGTTCCTTTACTGTCACTACAGTTATTTGTATCAGTAATATAAATAAATATATTTTATATCTGAAACTTCTTTAATCTTAGGTTTTAGCGTTGATTGGTGGGCTCTCGGTGTATTAATGTTTGAAATGCTTGCTGGTCGGTCTCCATGGGAAGGTGTTGGACAGTCAGCGAATCCCGACCAAAATACTGAAGATTATTTGTTTCAAAGTGAGTTTCTCCTCTTTTCCTGTTTGATGCAATGAGCACTACTACTACTACTACTAATAGTATTTATTAGTAGTAAAATTACATTACAAAATGTTGTCATGACGTCTTTACTGTTATCTTTTCGGAAAACTCCTCATGGCTGGCATAGACTGGATTTAGGAGAAGCAGGTCGTATGCTGATCATATTGCAATGCTACGCATCATCATGATCGAACAGAGAACAGAATGGCAGTCAAATCCCAACCTGGTTTTTGAAATGTCTTTCGATAGTGTCGACCGTATAATCATTTGAACGAGAATATCACATGACAAATGATTCACAACGGGAAGCTCAGTGAAAGCCTTAAATTAGGGGATCGGAGTAAGAAAAAGCTGTTCACTATCACAAATGATACTCCGGACTGTGATGGTCGGGATCATGCGTCAGGAGGCACGGAGACGTTGGACCAATAAGAAGAGTTTGGGAAATCTAGAGCTAGTGGATGATTTATGTCTAATGTCACACAAACTCAAAGATTTTCAGGTGATAACCGACAAGTTGGCAGAGAGGATAGGACTACAACTGAGGAGCATAGACAAGACATAGGTGGTAATGAAACCTAATCCATAGCAACAGACAACAATCACCATTTACCGGACTTTCAATTGACTCACCTAGGCAGCATAATTTCAACTGCGGGCTGCACGAATAAAAATGTCAAAGCGAGTCAGGATCAGAAAAGAAAGTCAGACCTTCATTTCTCTAAAATCAGTGTAAGTATCTACTACACGGTCTGGATCAGTTGTTTGCAATCCAACTGTAGCCTGAATGTGGGATATTAGAACACATAGATTGAAATAAATAGGCTGCAAATAACGACAAACGACAGTAAACAGTTAAAATAAGAGGTTAAGATTACTGCTTAAACTGGTCTAGATTTTGGTTTAAGTATTATTAGCAAACATCATACCATCTGACTGGTCTCAGACGCTGGATTGTTTGCATCTTGAGACACATTGAAACATCCTCCCTTGATAATCGTAGAAGATGGCATTTGAAAACCAGTACTTTCGTACTAGATATCTGTTTTATCCGAGCTTGGGACTCTTCGTCAGTGGTATGTGGATATAACCCTACCGGTTGGTTGAACCCTTAGCCCTTCGTGTTATAATGGAAACCCGGTCTACGTGACAAACCATAGCGTCACCACCAGCCCATGTCAATTCTCCTGTCTATAGAAACAGTTTAAATAATACGATAAAGCCCAGCCTATTTATCAGATCGATTTCGATGTAAATTTTGTCAGAAACCAACATCAACTAAGGATTGTTTAAGATTAAGGAACACTACTGGGCAGCTGTTTCGTCTTCCTAGTTTCGGATTGGCACTTCAGCATGTGGGCATCCACCTGAACCTCTCCTTCAGTGTTCAAACCGTTTAGGACCTCTAGGTTACGAGGTCGACTGTTTCAGAGTTCAGTTACACGTGAATTTTGACTCCGTCAATTCGTTATATAACGCCATTCTCAACCAGTCGCTTCAATGAGCTTCCTATTCATTTTGACATGAGAGACCCCATGATTTGCAACTTCTCATTACAGCTTCAGGATATCTATCCGATAATTGTGAATGAGCTGGAGATTGATGTTTAGATTATGACGTTCGTGGACATTCGGGTTAGTATCAGTTTAGATTTCGTTAGGAACCAACACACCTCAGTTTGGAAATCATTGAAGACCAATTGACACTGGGAAGCTGTGTTGTCCTCCTAGTTTAGGACTAAATCATCAGTGGTGCGTACTCATGACCTTACCTTGGATCGAAAGTGAGGCCTTTATTTATAGACAGGCCAAGCCATTCATCTACATTCCGACTGGAATTCAATGACAAATAACACAAATCATTTTTTCAACATAATCCCATTTAGTACTTATTTCAGTAAAAAGTACTATGTAGTCATTGTGATAAAATGTTTTTCCTAATTTGGATGGTTTTCCTAATGATTATGAACTATGCGTCACTTTTTCTGATCTTTCTTTCTTTGTAAAACAGTTATTCTTACACGTCCAATTCGTTTTCCACGTTCAATTTCTGTTCGTGCGACTAATATACTCAGTGGATTTCTTAAAAAGGTCTGTCAATTAATTTTTATTCCACAATATTATTATTTATTCATTTGTTCGTTGCATTCCAATTGAAACATAATTCTCCGGTGAAACAACACCCATTGCACTCAGCTATCTCCCATCAATTTCAGTGGGCTCGACGACTAGGCGACAGACTAACATTTCCTTTTCACATTGGTATTGGCCGTCTCACCCTTTGCTTGACACCTAACTGGTTGCCAGTTTCCATTAGGATTCCACTTGGCAGCGTGTCATGTAATGCCGCTTGAAAGATCTTAGCTACTTTGCTGTTTGAGATCCTTGTTGCTTACCATAATGAGATCTCTAGTATCAAGGTGGCTCGTTGAAAATCCTATTGGCGACGTACTAACCAGGTTTCTGAACCATACAGGATCAATTACTGACTTAATACTAATAGTCAACTAAATTTGAATCTGTGTGCGGCGGTGGCACAGCGGTTAGGACGCTTGCCGACTATGCACATGATCCGGGCTTCGATCCCCGGCCACCGACGCACTCCTTTACCTCGCTAAGCCAAAAATAATCCTGGTAAAGAGGAAAAGTTGGGTATGAGGCTAGCAAGCCATCCTGTAAAATAAACTCTGCTACAGAAACTTCAAGCCACTAGCTTGAAGCACTATGTACCACTGGGAACATGAAGGAAAAAAAAAATTTGAATCTTATCTCTTGAGTTGATTGTCGTTGTGGTGAAATGGATCATGCAACAAACTTTGATAAAGCAAGTAGACGGGCATGCGTCACGTTGAAGATACCTTACCACCAACTAAAGCGACAGCAACAAGCGTCAATCCACATCGAAGGAAGGAATCTCATGTGAATCTTCTGTTTCAGTTACCTCGGCAACAGCTGTCTTCCCTCTATATTGGAAGTTATGTGGTAGGACAGAATGGATAAGCCACTAGGAATTTTGGTAGTGAACTTAACAACAATCTTTTTGTCTTTGCATTGTTGCGGGCAATCGGCCTTGAGCCTAGCTTTCCTGCTAGTTGGCACTCGTCAGCAAAGCCTATCTGCAACCTTGAAGGAACTAGCTTTCTTAGACTTTCTTAGCCTTGTACCTCCAACTATGTAATCTCAACAAACCAAAGTGAATCGTGATGTCGAGTAGTCGCCTAGAATGACCGTCATATTGCAAATTTGACTGAAAAAAAATTCAGTCTGCAGCAAACAAACGACTAGACACATACCATCACACCATTAGCCGTTTTGTCCACCCAACGATTCCGCAGAAGGATTTGGAGAAGACTAGATTCTACATACTCTGAGCACACAGCTTATTGACATCACCTGCGAATGAAACTCGATTAGAAAACAACGAGCTGGACTTAGTTCTGAATGTTAAATACACGAAATCATGTGAAAAAAAAATGAAAGTGTATGGGTTATTGTGGGGCCAACCAGCTAAAAAAAAACTGCAGACAACTGAGTGAGATAAAGGTGTGTCGCAGCTCTGGAAGCCTATGTTCTTTTTGGTAGCCAAGGGATGAATTTTAATAATGATAATAATAATAATAAGAATAATAATAGTCTTGCTTTTCATTTTTGACACCAACAAAGTATCTGACTACCTTTCAAATGTGGCGAGTATACCAATTGTGATACACTTCACCCTTGTTCTATGCTTTACTTTAGTTTGAGACACGAAAACTGAAATTAGAACGTGTTGAATGGAAAAATTGTAACCAAGGCATATTCGTTCGTTTCCATTGATAATAAGTGGAACCGCATAGTATGTACTTTTTTGGGGTCTATGAGTGTTATAACAGGATATTAGTGATCTATGGTTGTTGTCTGTTTTCATTTAGAGTCAGACATTCTTTATTTATTTATAACACAAAACCTGGTACAGTATGGGCACCAAGAAAATGCACTACACAATAATAATGAAACAGCAGCATATGAAAAAATAGGCAGAAAATGAATAAAGGACTTTATCTGGAGAGAAAGCAGTTATATTTAACAAAACCAAACAGCATTCGTCGAATATTCGTCAGAAAGGGAAGAAAAAAGGAAATTACATGTTCGTTGTCGATTGCAGTTCTTGGCTATATCCGATAACGTTTCAAGCTACTGATTCAATCTATTTCTTGAACCTTATCCAAGGTGTGAGTCGCGACCCACCAACAGATGCTAACCTACTACAAATACTCTTCATCTCACGACGCACGTCATGGGCTGACCACCTCTGTACCTCTTCCAACCCGTCCTAGGGCTAGCGGACAGAGACCTGTAAGGACGCCTGTGGGAAGACATTTGTAACACATATCCATGCCACTGAAACCGATGTTTCCACATAATGACACTCGAGGTATGGTGGTCTGTATTGAAATGCACGCTGTCGGGCCTCCGAATCACCCACACGATGACCCCATCAAACGCAAGGAATTCTGCGGAGACAGCGATGGTCGAATACGCGGAGTTGCCACAAATTCTCAGCCCAGAGATGCCAGATTTCGCAGACGTCTAGCAAGAATGCGCACACCGAAACATCGTAAACCTGACCTTTGAAAATTCAGACAAAGGCGAGAGGCTGATGAAAGTGAAGACACCAAGAATAGTAAGAATAAAACGTAAAAATCTATGTCCAGAAATAAGGCTTAAAAAAGAAAAGCGTTGCTAGAAATACCATCGTTGTTCGTGAGCGTGTAATTAATTTCCTCATTATTTCCTGTTTCATTTTTAGTGTAAGGGCCGGGATACTGCCCAGGCGCCCAGATCGAAGCAGGTGGTTGTATTAAGAGACTGATCCCCGAGCTTTTGACGTAGAGTCTCATCGATGAGGCAGCTCATATGGTTGCCAATACAGGTTCATACGCCATTCGATCCGTTTGGATTCTGGAGACGCGTGTACCCCATAGCAATTGCGTTTAGTTTGACCGCTATCTAAACCACTTTTTTAGCACGGTAGGACCTGCAGGAACATAAGTTCCAGTCAGTGTAGCTTGTTGGGTCACTGGGGTATGCAAGTTCGACCACCGTGGTAAGGTAGAAGTTATCGGCCAGATAGGGTTAGTTAAGTGATCACTTAAAAATATTGCCTACATTGAGGTAGATTCAGAAGTCGGATTTAAATACGACAACGACAAAATCTTTATTATACAAAATACAGGGTATATATCGTTCACATATCCATGGAAATCCAAACAATGAAAAGATAATCAATACCCAATTGACTGTATGACCTTGAAGATCTTTGAAAGTAAATAAACCGAAAATTGTCCAATCAGATTATTATATTATTATTATATCAGCGCACGCATCAATCATAATTTCACGGCTAACAATGATAGTTGGTCCGTTCTGACATTGAGACATTTCACACCGCCCTCTTCAAAAGTGGGTCCCGAGTGGAACATAAGAGATCAGCAGCACATCACTACTGGGGTATGTTTTCTGCTGATTATGTGATTGCCCAGAAGCTTTCATCTACTCTTTATGTGACTGACCTTCAGACGTATGCCAAACTTACCCTTTCCCATTCAGATTCCACTCGACCAATGGCCTGGCGTGTACTGTCATTTAACAAACGTATGTTCAATGGAATTGTCCATTTTATGCGGCATATTTGTTGGTCAATGGGTTCTTGGTTGTTTCATCGCCTTCCAGTGTCCGTTGTTGCTCATCCTTTCTGATTGTCTTCGATCTAGAGTCAGTAAAGGCAGCTCAGTTGTTGATAAAAATATGCAGTAATTTGTTTGAAATGGGTTTTTTTTGAACAGTAATGGATACATTTAATTGATTGAATAATTTATTTTTTTGTTCGCATTTCTCTGACATCACTGTCCCCTCCCTACACACAAACAGATACCAACTGAACGTCTTGGCTGTGCACCTGATTCAAGTTTCGCGGATATTATGAATCATGCGTTTTTTGCTCCAATCGATTGGATTGCATTGGAACAAAAACAAGTTCCACCACCATACCGGCCAGCATATGTTGGTGATCGAGATCTGATACATTTCGATCCAGCCTTTACGGATGAACCGGTAGTATTGACACCAGATAATGAGTAAGTTTGTTGATTTCTTTTGTTTCCATTCTCAAATTTTATGAATTATTATTACTACTACTATTGCTATACATGTAAGAGAACCTTTGGTTTACACACTACTAATTGTGTAATCAGTGATGACTGAAAGTGCAATTAAATCCGCACATATCCCTCATTTCTTCACAAATATGTACGCATTGAGTAAGTTGTAGATAGAATCCAATCCATACCTTCGAGTTAAAAAATAAACAGGGTGAGTTTGCCATATAAGAGATAGCAGACTGTTAGATCAGACAAAAACAGGTTGGTGGGTTACATACTAGGATTTATAGGAAACCGATACGCTCTAAGTCATCCCATCCACAAATGTCAAAGATAATCTGTCTGTCTGTTTTCGACATACAACTTTGCACATATGTGCGGAAGTTCAAGTCGCCACACTCCGCTCCTTGTAGCACACAAAGCAAGAGAAGAAAGTACAAGAAAAGCATAATAGAAACAGTGAACAGAGGTGTGAGACAAAGGAGGAGTAATAACGAAGAACAAAACAGTTTCATTGAAGATCATAAGTCACAGGGAGTGGATACATCTGCGCCACTGAGAACGGTTTTGAGCCATGTCGCCAATTGTTTCCAACCATAGATTTTTACCGTCCCGAGGACCCCAGCCTGGAAGTCTACACCTTTCTACGTGGCTTAGACCAACTGTTGTGGATTTCATTGACTGATGCCAAGTTTTTGTTTGACCGCCGCTAGCTTTTTTCCAGCCTGACCTTACATCCGCTAACATTGCTCGTTGAGGGAGGCGATGGCTTGGCATACGCAACACATGTCCTAACCATCTCAGTCTTTGTAGCTTCACGACTTCGTCGATTGATTTCCCCTGTTTACCTAGCACTCGACGCCTAACCTCAATGTTGCTCACCTTATTATGCCACTTTACACGGGAAATAGAGCTCAGGCACCTATGATCAAATGCAGATCAAAATGCAGTCAAATGCAGATGTATAATCAAGGAAGGCACAGAGAACGTATTTAGCTCCTTTATCTAAACTAGAGACTATACTATGATGTAGGACAACAGCGGCATCTAAGGTACACCTACTATGTTTATAAGCAAACTGGTCGGGGTCATTGAAAGGCTTTAAAGAGGGTTCATGATTAAGTAGAATAAGTCTATCCATAACTTGCAAAAAAGGTGAGGTAATAGCAATGGGTCTAAACTTAACATTAGGTCCACTTGTAAATTTAGGCACTGGAACAATCTTGATATTTTTCCATGAGTCAGGTACAATACTTTTGGAAAACGATTCGTTGAAAATGTCAGTTAATGGGGAACATAAGATATCACGTCTACTCCAGAGACGGCGTAAACTGGCATATGCGAAACTAGACCTCTATAGCCATGCTGAGATTTCGTCAGAGATCAACCCGTTGGCACTGGCTGATGGTACTTCCCAAATAAGTGAAGCGGTCAACGTGCTCTGCCACTTCACTCCCTATTTCTAATCTAGAAGTCGGTGTAGTCCAGTCCTGTAACATCATCTTGCATTTGGCGGGAGCGAATCGCATGTCAAACATTCGTAGATTGCAGCTCAAGATGTTTAGAAGACTCTGCATTTTGTCAGCATCCTCGCCTAGTAGGACTGTATCGTCTGCATATTCTAAGTCAACGAGATTATTCCCGGTAGCAAGTCAATCCCTGAGTCGCTGAAGTCACTTAGGGTTAAGTGCATTAACACATCTATGATGAAGTTGAATAGAAAAGGGGATAATGGGCATCCTTGACGGACACCACTAGTCGTCACCAGTTCAGCTGACAGCTCGCCGTAAGCCCTCAACTGGCTGTGTGAGTACGAGTAGAGTGCCTTAATCAGTGCAATGTATTTTCTGGGATTCCTTTACATGCAAGCATCTCCAGAATGCCTCCCCCTAGACAAAGTCGAATGCCGCCTTTAGGTCAAGAAATACAATGACTGTTGGACGCCGGTAGGAATGACTATGTTCTAGAATCTGTCGGAGGGTGAAGATATGATCAATACACCCTCTTCCTGGTCTAAAGCCTGCCTGGCTCTCTCGTGTTTGTGCTTCCCGAGCACCACTCAGTCTACGCATGATTATTGAGCCTAGGACTTTAGATACCATATTAGTCAATCTAATCCCTCTGTGATTATCACAGGAAGACTTGTCTCCCTTCTTGTATATGGGAATAATCAGTGACTTACACCAACCCGACGGGATTTCCACTGATTCCCTGACGCTGCCTAGTACCTCAGTTGATGCAGACAGTAAGCTGTCTCCACCATACTTAAATACCTCTGGAGTCATTCCATCAGGTCCCGCTGCTTTGCCTTGTTTCAGATTATTGATAGATTTAGTGACCTCAGTTAGGGACGGAGGACCTGTGTCTACATCCTATTCAGGGAGGTGTTAGTTGTTCGGCTGGCTGAGCGTGGCTGTGGGCCAGTTAAACTGCTCCTCAGAGTGCTCTTTCCAGCGTTCCAGTCGTGTATGCTGAGAGCTAATTATGGTGCCATTTTTCTCCGAGATTGTTTCACTAATGATTTACCTTCTCCCACCCGTTTCCCTGATGAGTCTAAATAGTTTCCAGGTGTTGCCTATCCTCGAAGCTTTCTCCATCTCTTTCGCCTTTGTCACCCACCACTGTTCATGGTCCTTGCGGAGACTTTTCGTAAGTTTCCTTTTCTGCAGCTTTCGCTTCTCATTGAATTCGGAGCTCGCCGGAATTGGTATTCTTGCGTCAATCAGTTCTGAGGCATTGGAGATCCAATGGCTTTCACTTACTTTAGGTTTTAGCTTATTCACAGCTTTCACAGCTGTGTTTACAGCTAACTGTATGTTATGCCAGGCTACCTCAGGGGAAGTCGTGCTGTCGACCTCAGAAACTGGTTTCGCTATTTCTTCCTTAAATAAGGACTCAGTTTCCCGATCTAGTTGGGGATCCCGGTGGATAGCCGAATGTGTGCTGTCCGTCTGAACGGGTCAGTGAGAAAGAGAAAGGAAGGAACATAAAAAGCCCTACATAATAAGATTTTGGATAGAACTAGAGTTGAGGAGCATTTAATTCGTGTGTCGGTGGCTTTGGAGTTAAATGCACGCCAGTCATGCGTGTGGTGAGGCATTCGATCCCCGGTTGACGCATTCCTTTATCAAGGACGGTAATAAGACAGCTGTGAAGTGAAGGTTGGGCATGAGTCTAGCATTCCCACTCCATAAAACATAAATACCACTGCTACCGAAACTTTTAACTTGAGACCCTATGTTCCACTTGGAACGTAAATAAATAACCTTTAGATGAATCAGTTGACTTGTAGACAATTTTCGTACACGGAAGGACCCAATAGAAGAAGTTACACAGAAGTTATCAAATACGTGACTGACTGGTTTCAACATAGAACTTTGTACCGACGAGCAGCATTTCGAATCACCACACTTCACTGAGCATACAAGCAAGAGAAGAAAGTAAAAAGAAATGCAAAATAGAGACATTAAACAGAGATATGAGGCGAAAAATAGTAATATTGTACTTTTATCGGGTATTACAAGTCACAAGGAGTGGATGCGTCTGTGCCAGCCATTGAGAACGATATTGAGCCATATCACCGATTGTCTCCAGCCATTACGGTTTACCGTCCCGAAGACCCCAACCAGAAAGTCTACATCTTCTTACGTGGCTTAAACTAGCTGTTGTAGATTATCAAATACCATGTAATAACTACAGTCATTCACCACTACCGGATGTATTCCTAGAAGTTAAAGTTGGCTGAGTAGCTGTTGAGCTCGTCTTGTAACCTGAAAGGTCTGAATTCGATCCTTACAGTTGGGTTCATGGATGAGAGCCCATAACTTTTTAGTCCTCCCTCCTACTGATAATTTTCAGTGGTCCTCATTTGTTAATGCTTGTGATAGTCTTTTCGATCAGCTGATAGCAGTAAATACTGACATGTTGATGCAAGTCATTCAGAAGACAAAATACGAGGATGAATGAACTTATTTTTTAACATAATTATTGTAATTTATTCAAATAACTTAACAAACATGTCAATTTTATACTATCAGCTGTCCTTTTTGTTTAACTGGTAGAATATGGTGTGTAATCTCTAGGTGGTTAAATGAATTTTTACGAGCAAAGGAAACCAGAAAACCTCTTAGATTTGTTAAGAAGTTGTATATTATTATTATTATTATTATTATTATTATTATTATTATTATTGTATCCTTTAGTTCCTAGAGGAACATAGGGCTTCAGCTGCGCACCTCCATTGACTTCGGTTTTCTGACAACTTTTTCACCCTGCTCCAGGTCTGTCCACATGCTTTCATCTCCTCCTCGCATGACCTCCTCCAAGTCACCCTTGGACGACCAACTCGCCGCCTCCCTTTCGGGTTCCACTCGAGGGCTTGTCTAGTGATGTCACTTGATGGTTTCCTCAGCGTATGGCCAATCCATCTCCATTTCTTTCTGCCTATTTGTTTCACAATCGGTTCCTGATTGGTTCGCTCCCAGAGATCCCTGTTGCTGATCTTTTCTGGCCATCTGATCTTGAGTATTGAGCGGAGACAGTTGTTAATGAAGGTTTGAAGTTTGTTTGAGATGCTCTTTATGACTCGCCAAGTCTCTGATCCGTATAGTAGCACTGACTTCACATTGGAGTTGAAAATCCGGATCTTATTTTTGATGCTGAGTGCTGTTGACCTCCACACAGATTTGAGAGTAATGAAAGCTTGTCTTGCTTTTCCGATTCTGGCTTTGATGTCCTCGTCAGTTCCGCCTGTAGTTGAGACGATGCTTCCCAGGTAGGTGAAGGAGGTTGTTTCTTTCAGGTTCTTCCCATTTATGCTTATTGTTGTCTGTTGTTGTTTGTTGCTGTTGATGTTGGCTAGGAATCTTCATCATCTCTGTTTTATCTATGTTCACGTGAAGTCCTATCTTTGATGCTTCTTCTGCCAACTTGTTACTTTTCACTTGCATATCTTCCAGTTTATGGGAAATCAGACA